TATTTACTTATATTCATAGCTATATAGAAGTGTCCATAAAGAGAAGCTTTATGAGCTTGTTGTATCTGATACAACAACTCAATGGATATATCCAGACTACGTAAACCACCTTGGTATCAGTGTTATCGATATCATATTCTAAGTTTTGTTAATCAGTCAATGCTGATTTGTTATTAATTAATATAGTCTTAACAAATTACATTTAGGATTGTGTATATTGAGGGTCTTAAAATTATAATCTTCCATAAGAGTGACATTGAGTACACTTATGTTTTAGCATTAAATTCTTAAAGTTGATTTAAACTTAATATAAATAATATATAAAGTTCAAGTCAACTTCTCTTGCATATTCAAATAGGGAATAATAAACTATATAAAAATTTCAAATATAACGAATTTTGTTATGTGGTCCTTTTGTACTTACAGTGCTATATCTACACATTTCTAGTAACTTTGAACAAATAATAAATAAAACTATTACAATGAATAAATTAGCAAAGTAATATTATTTTATAATAATTTACTTTAATAATAAACTAAAAAGAAATTTGGCATAAACCAAATTAAATAAAAAAAGGAAAAGTAAACAATGGAATATAAATTAAACAATTCATTATCATTATCCCATCTGAACAATCAGCGTTTATTCCCTTGTATTAATGCACTGCTTATACATTTCACAGTATGCGTTACATAGCCAAAACTTTTTAAGAAAACGTTTTATTTATAAATAATACGATTTCGTTACACAAATTGTATGACTAATATTTATATGTAAGAAATCCTATACTCTATATTTTTATTAGAAATATAACTTTTATAATGAACACTTATTTTATCTTTGTTAGAGTATTCTTTTGAGAGTGTATATTTTATTGAGATATTAACGCTAAAATTTTTTAAAGCTACATCTAGCCCGATCAAAACAAGATTTTGAAATATATATATATAAAAAAAATAATCAAAAATTAAACACTAAAAATATGTTCATACGTTTCTTTGCGTTGTCTGCCGGTACGATGTTCGTTAGAACGAATTTATTAACCTCAAGACTATCTACCCAATAAGAAGCACTCGCAATAGATTTTTACTATTAAATAAACATTTAAAGTTAAATAAAGATTGATAATAAATTTAAATAATTTTAAAAAGAAAATATTTGATATTTAAAATGTTACTTGCATTTATTTCCGTGATGAGAAGAATAGAATTTTATTATTTCATGAACAAATAAACTTAAATAAATGATTCACTTTAAAATTACCGAGTATTATTTATATAATGTTTTATATATTATTTAAGTCTAAATTAAATTTAAAAAATATATCCCAGAGAAAGTTAATTTAAATAGACTGTTGTAGATTTTGTGTATTTTGAAAATACAGAAAGAACTGATTTTAATAAGAAAAAATGGGTTTTTGTATTCAAAGGAGGGTAGTGTAACAATCCTTATTGTAATTTTGGAAACTGAGAATTTCGATTTTTATTGTTAAATGGCTGGACATAATGATGGATTAATTTGTAGATCTGCATATAAGCGTTACTTAAAATTTGTAAGCAGATTTTTTTCCTAGTTTACTGGTTATTTTGTGTTTTAAAGAAGGAACCCTGTCATGGTGATCTTGTAAATTTATAATATGGACATACATATACAAATGATAACATCATATTATATACTATCGATAACATAATATTCTTTGGAATTTTTTTAATATAATTATTAAATATGATATCAATGTTCGTTCTTTATAAAGTAAATTTAAAAACATGTATAATTAAACATATTTTTTTAATTTAACTTATCACTCTAGCTTTCTTTTGTAATCGACGCTCTAAACGATGTAACCTACTACCCATAATATGATTGTAACGAATATAATGTGTTGCCTTAAATACAACCAGTTTGAGTAAATGGCGTTCCCACCCCAAAAGATATCGTATAAAATCCGCAACCTTGAAACTAGCGCTCCCCAACATGATTCTGTGGGCTCCGTTAATTATTTCAGTTAACTCGGCCACAGTCCACCAGTAGATGTTCAAGCACGCTAAAGTTCTTGCAGTTTCTCAATGTAAAATTATTTTTATGAATTAAAACTAAAATATTAAATTATTTTATTTGATTCATGTAGTAAATACATTTTACAATAACCTAAATTTAATTTATTTTATATATTAAAAAAAGAAAGTTGTAAAACGTGTTACAATAAAATACTCAAATTAATTGTATTTATATAAGTATTCCTTTGCGTATTCTTAAACAAAAATTAGTTTTAAAGTAATAAGTGTCCGTCGTTGTTTTAACTACATTTTCCAGGAAAAATTTTATTGGTGAGTAAATTTGTTATATTTTTACATTTTAACTTTTAAACGGTTTAATAAAAGTAGTAATAACTAAATGAGTGTAAAGAATAAAATACAGGGAATTTAAAATAAAGATTTTAACAGGAACTTAAATATTGCTAAAATTTAAAAATTAAAACTAATTTTTAAACAGTCACAAAATAACAAAACATAAATAATCAATAAATAGTGCGTTTTCATTCTTTTATTTCAAAATAAAAAAAAATTTTTAAAGAAAATTATTATCATTATTAATCAAACGTAACATTATAATTACATTATTATGATTATTAAGCAATTTAGTAATACTTTTAGTAATAAATTCTTATTATGTGATTTAATTATTCATTACTATAAATTTATATGTGACTATATTCATGTTTCATTTTGACGAAGAAACTGTGATGTGTAAGTTAATTTATTTCATAGTTGTTAAAAACATTATTAATTAGCATTATTATCAAAAAGAAACCTGTTCAAAACATAAATTATAAAAGCTAATTAATAATAACATGAATTAATATTTTAAAATGTTCCATAAGACTGATATGTAAATTTTGACATTTTTGGTGTTTAAAACATTGCATATTTAAAATGTAATAATCCTAGTTTATTTTCATGTTTCTTCTTTACATTTTGGCGTTGATTTTATTGCTAAATAAATATAGTTAAAAAAAACAACGCTTTTAAAGCACATCGAACTAAAAAGTCTAAAATAATTTTTAACTTTTTAGTTCGATTTGCTTTAAGATCGCGTTTTTTTAGTTTTTTAAACTATATTTATTTTTCATTTTTTAGTTTTTTATGACATCGTTGTCACAGTTACAGAGTGTTTATTGTCAATTATGACTATCAATAGATATAATTTCTGTATTGGCAGTTGGTGTATTTACAACTCACAACTGTGTCTTACTAGTATTGATAATAAAGACTATACGTGCGAATATCGTCATAAAAAACTAATTAGCTACCTGTATTTGTAATCCCTTATGTATTATAAATNTTATGAAATATAAAAATTTAAAGGTTCAAATTTATTTGAGTTAATATACAGGGTGTTCAGTAAGTCAGGAAACGGGTTTCTATTGTTCTCATTATTTGTAACAATGAGAACAATAGAAACCCGTTTCCTGACTTACTGAACACCCTGTATATTAACTCAAATAAATTTGAACCTTTAAATTTTTATATTTCATAATTAACAATAAAAATTTGTATATATATATATATATAATATTGATGACACGCGCGCATGTACCCGTACGAAAACCAAAAATAAAATTTTACAATAATAGTGTTGTGAGCGGGGTGGGGTGAATGCGTTACGACAGTCTAGTCTCAAGGCCATAGACGACGGGATACGCGAGAATAATAACACGTGGGGCGCGGAGTTACAAACATACAAACATACAGGTGAAACTAATATAAGCGTGTTAATAAATATAGTTTAAAAAAAATAAAAAAACACGCTTTGAAATTACATCGAACTAAAAAGTTAAAAATAATTTTTAAAATAAGCTTAAAACAATAATGAACGAAAAATACAAGTATTATTGTGATAAAAGTGCCGGGCGTTTAATATAGGAAAAATGTGGCACAAAGCACCCACGCTTTTATCACAATAATACTAGTATTTTTCGTTCATTATTGTTTTAATCTTATTTTAAAAATTATTTTTAACTTTTCGATGTTCGATGTGCTTTCAAAGCGTGTTTTTTATTTTTTTTAAACTATATTTATTTTTCACATTTTAGTTTCATGTTATGATAGTAGTTACTATCAATAGCATGGTTGTAACGGGTAACGGGAATACAGGGTTCGATTCTGGGAAGGGAGTCTGAGTAACGGCTACCACATCCAAGGAAAGCAGCAGGCGCGTAAATTACCCACTCCCGGAACATGGAGGTAGTGACGATAAATGATGATACGGGAATCATCCTTTGTAATTGGAATGAATATCTCTTAATGAAAATAAAGCGTGTTAATATATATTTTAATAGTAATTAGAATATATATATATACATGTAAAGCGACATAAGTACGTAAACGTATCATGCACTAGGTATAGCCTTGTTTTTTTGGGGGAGGAACGTTATATCTAAGGTATAAACGGCGGCAGCGGCGGTAGGAATATATAAATATACATACGTAAGGCGCATTACACGCGGGTGGTATTGGTCAGTCAAAATAAAAATTTGTTTATAATTTGTGTACGGGTATAAAAACCAAAAATATAAAATTATACAGGATTAGTTTTGTAGGCGAGTGGTGAGCAGGGTGGGGTGAATGCGTTACGACGTCTAGTCTAGACGACGGGATACGCGAGAATAATAACACGTGCCGCGTGGAAACTTACAAACACACATCAGATATTACACAACACACATCACACGTCACACATACAAGTGAAACTAATATAAGCGTGTTAAAAAGTACTAGGTTTTGTTTTTTGTTAATTTTTTAACAGTTATATTCTATTATAAAATTGTGTTTAGGATTGCAAAAAGTGATGTGAATTGTAATTATTTCAAGCATTTGAATCTAATTGTATCATGATTTTGTTTAAGCTCTTTGGTAAGTTCTTTAATTTCTTTTTTGTCAATTGATTAAACGTATCACATATGCTATTCACGCGATTTCTATTAACGGATTTAAAGAGTATACTTTAACAGATCTTAGAGTTACATTGTGTTTTACAACTAATGTACTACAACTTCACTACAATTTGACAGAAAATCTACATTTAAGCTTACATAATATAGAGATTCCAACATAATGTTATTATTACATTTAACATTATTAACATATATTAGAAGATACTAATCAAATACATTTATCATTTATAAAAATTAAAAACTTTATCATATAAATTCAAAGTTATTTTCTTCATATTTTGTATTACTGTTAAATTTTTTCTGTATGGATAAGGTTCAGTTATAAGGTATAATCTATTGGGATAATATACAGGGTGTTCAGACTTACTGAACACTCTGTATAATTATCTCTAACCTTTTTTTAACCTATCTCTTTGTAAAATGTATACATGTAACCAAACGTGTTGTGTTCTTAATACTTTACATGGTTTCGTTATTCTTATATTTATTTTACCTTGCTATCAGGTACAGAAATATTATGAATGAGTACACTTGACAAAAAGGTAAATTTCAAAAAGCAGCAATATTTTCAAAGAAAATTTTTGATACTCACTGAACATCAACAAAATGAATAGATAGTTTGAATAATACTCAATATTTTCTTTTTTATATTAAGAAAAATTATCTGAATCTAATTCTGGTTAAATTTATTATCAATGAATTGTGCACTATAGCTAGATAAAATATTACTTTAATAGCTCCTAATTGAAATTTAATATGTTTTTTACAGATAACTTAATAATTTATCACAATCATAAATTGACTGAGTGTTGATTGTTAATAATATTTACTATTATATGTGAACTGAGATAATAATTGTTTCATCACATAATGATTATATGTTATAACGATAATATTCACAAAATAATATATACATACATCTATAGAAATAAATGTGTATGTTTTATTCATATAATCGATTCTATTGTAGTATTTTATGTTATCCATATAGTATTGATTATGTGTAATATAAAAGTACAATATTTTTTTGTAAAGAAAGAAGATACATCAGTTTTTCCCTTTTGCATAAAGATATGATGCTCAAAAAAATCATTGTTACAATATATTATTAAAAAGTATTTTAATATTTATATTTAATAATGTAATTTTATTAATTTTATAGTTAGTTTTATTTATGTTACTTTTAGTTATGACTAATAGTAATGTTATTACAGGGCAGTTACCTCGTGGAGCCAATAGCTGTCCAAACTCTGAAAAATTTTCCATGATTATAGCTTTCAGATTTCCTACATGTGTATTACGTCATTATTTATGTGTAAAGACTTAGTTCATAATTAATATTTTATCTAAAAATATTTGTCTCGATTGGAAACAAAAAATTAATTTTATTTTGATCAAATACGTTATAAAAAGTAAATATATACTAGATTGCTGCTTAATTATATTCTTTATATATTTTTGGGGTCTCCCTCTTTAAATAAACACTTTTCTTGAATGTTTTTAATTTAATAATAAAAATTCTGAGATTTTAGCCGGAATTCACCCTATTCCATCCCTGGTCATGATTATATAGTAATTTTTATCGCATAACTTTACTTAATGATACTGAAATTTCAAGTTCTAAGCATGGCTATACAATTTAATGAAATGAAACCTTTATATACTTTATTAACAAATAAAGTATATAAAGGTTAGATAAGCGTTTAAAAGGTTTTGCACATACTACATAACAAATTAATTATCAGTATAGTCATTAATAATAAGAATGCTTCCAGAAAGTATTGTGTGTTGCACCATAAATGAAACATTAAGTACCAGCGCCAAATTATCAGTGTTTAAAAATTTGTACACATCAAACTTCCAAAACATTATCATATATAATAATTATATAATTATTATCATATTACTACTATGCACTTCTTATATTTTTGTATTAAACGTACCTATACATGATCCATTTACAACAAATTTAGCTAACAACTATTTTAAATTTTGATACTTTTATTATTTTGTTTTAATGTTTTTTTAAAATAATTTATGTATTCTTAGACTACGTTAAAATTATATTTTTTATAATTAATAATATAAATATTAAAACATTTTTTTCAAAATTACAAAATGGACGTTTTTTTTAGAGTTTTCTTATAAAAAAAAGTTCTAAGAATTTTAATACATTGAGGAGTGGGTGTGTAGCACGGTAAGATTATAAGTCATAAATATACACTAGTACGAGCTGTATCCATCAGACTTATATACCCATTGGGTAAAATGTTATTAAATGTATTGAATTTGTTAAGCTATAAATATTAACACAATTGATAAAACTGTCTATTCATTAAAAAAATATGAAATATTATAGATTAAAGCATGATATAACAACTAAATGAAAATCGTTTATTATGCCTTTTACACGTATGATATGAATAAACAAAATGTGTCAATTACATCTTTTTCAAACATTCTATAACAGTTAAAATTATATACTTGCTAAAAATTGTTGATAGTTATCCAAGCATTAGTTTTTGCTTAGATTGGTAAATATTTTTAAAGAAGTATTTGAAGAGTCAGTAATATATTTTTTTAATTATCATTTGATAATAGCGAAATTTTAAGTGATTTTAAAATTAAATGTGCGTGGTATCTTATTGATGCACGATGCAGATTGGTCTTAAAGATGCCTAAGTAAAGTATAAAACAAATAACAAATCGTTTGTATAAATAATACATAATTCCTAAATTCTTCACAATAAGCTAATTTATGTTATTAGACACCAACAAATTTATTATTACAATATTCTTTCTTTGTCATTTTTATTTAATGTTGTGTTTGTTGTATTTCTTGTTAAGCGAGGTTAATGTGTGAATCGGTGAAATAAAATAACACTTTTATTTTTTTTAATAAATTTTAATACACTTATACTATTCAGCTTATATAATATATATTATCTTATAACACATCTTATCAAACCTGACACACTCGTAGACTGTGCTAAAATGTAGTGTCCGTAATATTAATCAACTTCATTCTTGTTATAGGTGAGGATAAAACAAAAGTTTCCACCAATCCTAAGTAAGTTTTTAATTATATATGTTATTTCAATTATTAACTATGCATTACATCAACTTAAAACTGTAAGAGCGAACTAATACATTACTACAAGTTACTGTTAAGTTAATAAATTATAAACTTCAACCATTACATTTATGATTTTATGAATTCTTGAGTTAAAGTTTAATGTAATTACAATCCCGTATTTTAGTAGTTTGAATAAATTATTTATTGGTATTTATTTTTATCTTATATTTAATAAATTGAAGCATAATAAAAACAGATAAAAAAAATATATTTTACATTATAAAATAATAAAAATTAATAAATCTATTAAAACTCACTTATTAACTTTTAGTAGGTAATTTGTCAAAATAAATTTATAAACGTCAGCTTTTTGGTTAATAAGGGATTAGATATAATTTATCTCCTTCACAATAAAAAGTTATACACAACTAGTAAGTATCCTTTACCTCAACGCCATATCTATGCCTTAAGATTTATTCAAGAAGAGTATGTGGTGAATTTCATAATCTTTCACTTACTTATTGTTCACCATGAGAGGGCTTTCTCTCGGGAGTCGCTGAACAACTGCAATAGTTTCCCCTCGTATGACTTTAGATTCAGGATTTTATACTATTTTTATTAGCTTCGTTAAAATAATGAATAAGTATTGGAGATATATCAGATACATATTAGGTAATCTAATTTACTAAGCCTTAATTAAAATTTGTGTGGTTTTTCTTTTAAATCTTTCTATTTTAGCTTCGATGAGAAGCTAAGATTTTGATGAACAATATGTCAAAAGATCACAAGTCGTATCTAGTTGAAGTCATTTCCCTTAAAAATTGAAAAATTTTCCTCGTTTCCTGTAAAGTTAGAGGGGGGAATTTCCAAAAAAATTAAAAATTTTCAAATCAGTAAATTTGGTCATTTTTTTTCACTTTTTTTCTTAAAACTACCATAATTTTTTTTTTAAATAAACAAAGCTACTCAATTTTTTTTTATTGAAACCTTAAATATTACTTGAAAAATACGTATAAAAAGTAGAACTTTTAAACTTAACTTTTGTAAATGTTCCGAAAATACTACGTCCTTTAAACATATGCCAAATTAAAGCATACAATAAATACTATAAGTTCAAAAAAAAAATTTGTCCGAACATCTTTTCTTCTATAGGTAAATGGTCGTCGAATTTAACGAACTTATAATTTTTATGTAAAAATCACTGTTAAACATAAAATATTTTAATACTTGAAACTACTATAACTTTTTGAAAAATGAACAAATTAAAATTATTTTTTTTATATTGAAACCTTAGATATTTTTCTTTCATTTGATATCAATTTTTTCAAATCTGACTCTAAACTACCTGACCGTAGGGTGAATTAAAAAAAAAACAATTTTTGCACACAAATTAAGCTTATTCAATTTTTGAAAATGTTCCGGAAATATTGACACTTTTATTTAATCTTAAATTAAAGCTTATATTATTATTTAGAATAAAGTTCATAAGACATAAGAAATTAAACTTATTTAAATATTTTTGCTTTTTTAAAGTCGAAAAAGTAACTTTAAAATTTGAATTAATTTAAATTGCTTATTTTATTAATCTGCGAAAGCGAAGAACAGTTGCCGAATCGGTAATACTTATGTCTTTCACGGTTAGGGTACCAGATTTCGAATCCGCTTTAGGCATTTAATATTTTGCATTTTTTTATAAGAAAGAAAAATTTTCAAATTATTTGTTATTTATCTCATTGAGATTCATTAACTTCAATAAATATTAAGAATCCCATCACTGTAGTCTCTCCTCTGAGAAGAAATTTCTTATTCATGTTAATATTATTTTACTTTGTTGTTTTTTTGTGGCTGCGATGTATTTTTCCAACGTTTACTTAACCTACTTTTTTTCAACGATACATCAAATCAAATATTCTTTTTTAGTTGAAGATATTACCCTCAAAAATTATTCATTTCTAATATTTTTAATGTATTTATTGTCGAATTTGATATGATAAAAGTATTTAACTGCAAAAGTAAATAATTTTACTTGAAATTTATTAATTTTTTAACTCTATTTGTGTGTGTTACTAATAGTCTATAACAGTGGTCGGCAACCTTTTTTAATTCTCGGGCCACATTTACAAATTAAAAAGAGTTCGCGGGCCAGATAAAAAAAAAAAATTTATAATTACATTATTTATTATGCAAAAAAATACTATCTACAACTTAAAATAATAATATGACTTATATAAAATACCCGTACCAAAAACGCAACGTTCAATTATATTTATACTAAATGATATTCAATTAAATTAGTCGATTTAGAATTTAAAGCGGGCCGTATTCAATAGCCACGCGGGCCGCCGGTTGCCGACCATTGGTCTATAACATTCCAAATTATTGGAATATTATAGACTTTTAATATTCCACATTTTTTAGTAAGATGTTGCTAATAAATCACAAATCTAAAAAAAAAAATTGATTTTTAGTTTCACCTGAATTTAACAATCGATTTTTATAATTATAATCAAAATTTATTATAATTCGCTCAATTGAGTAGATTTTTTTGACAACTTTTTTTTCATTGGTTTTTTTAGTTCATATATCATAAATCATATATCAATAAATCATAAAATTAATTCAGTTCTGTATATTACAATTTACAATAAAAATGCAGTAAAATCGAGCTTTACTAATAAATTTACTGTAAATAGTAATTATAAAATTTCCTGTCTGCATATTAATCTTATCAAAACCATTTTTTTCTATTTAATGATGTCAAGTTGAGCTAAAAGTTGTGGTAAAAAAATTCATTTTTTTTTTTATAAACTTTCACTTCAAAGGACAAAAACAAATAGGTTAAAAATGATTTCTTTTATCATATTAAAAATCAAAATCAATAATAATTTTAAAGCAATTAATTATAAATATTATATATTACATTTTTGAATCTAAGAATTACTAACCAGGATATAATTAAGAAAATAAGACTTGATGTTGCTTTTGTAGTTATCCACCAATTTCTTCTTATAATTAAATATTATCTACAGATTTGCATTGAAGTGTTTCTTATGATAGTGATTTTAATCACTGTCAAATATCATCTATACTTATCCCAACTATGCCACGTCCCCAAAATGGGAGGGGGGGTCGCGGCACTGTGCTGGTTTTTTTCTTCTTTGAAATAGTTATTATAGTTATTTTTATTTTTTTTGGGATCTTAAGAATAAAAGGTATTCAATACTGTTTGGTTTTATTAAACTCCGAACACTTCTCTCTGTCCTTGCATTTTTTTCAATATTTCGATTATTCTCTAGCTGAGAAAAAATGTCTGAGTATTTATATAAATTTAATATTGACTTCTCTAAATGATAAAAAATATCGGATGCTATACCTGCGCCTTTTGTTATGTTTGAATTACTCTATTGTAAATAGTAAGGTAGGTTTAACACAAGTGAGGTAACAGTTAAAAATTGATATATCGTATATAATCTACCCCATCATGTTTTTATACCTTTAATAAATTTCTTATTATTATTAAGATCACTCAAATATCTTGTGTTATCTATTTATTTGTGCAGTATTGAAGTACGTGAAAAGTATTTTTTATTTTATTTATTTATATATGATGCTGTAATATTCTCCTCTGGAATATTAAAAAAAATCAATACCTTCTTTTATTTCTCAGACCACAGAAAAGAATACGCTAACACTATTACGCATATAATTCTGACTTTGGCCACTATGAAGTGGCCGTGAGTCATTGTCTTTCTTACGCTCTTCGAGGCACCACTTAAGTATTAAAAAAGGAACATTAATTATAATATCACTTTTATTGAAATACAGAATGATGACTGAATGTGCCTATAAAAAAAGCATAACACATTCATGACGCCCATTTCCCGTTTATGACATTTGTGGTACATTATATAAGGGCTGAATACCCTGTTTACTGAGTCAGTCACTCATTCACTTTCTTGTCTCTAATTCTCAAATAACTATCTCTTTTATCAAGTAACTCTCTAAGATTATTCCCTACATACTGTAGTATATTCTTTATACTGTGTGTCTATAAACTTAACTTTTATCATTTGTTAAACCATGTGTTAAAATAATTAACACTTTCGATAATAATAAATACGCTTCTATTAATAAAATACGATTCTCTTGTATTAATATACCTACAATAATTTTAACAACACTTAACAACCACAAGTCTATAATCAAGATTCTATCATCATTAGTGAATATAAGGTAAGAGTAGTTTTAATACACTAACTACATTAATTAAGTAATAACCGTTAACCATCCATCAATATTTCCCTCATATTTAAAAGTAATGCTACTATTATGTTGTATCTTTCTTTTGGTTATTACAATGTGTTATAGACACTGTTTATTTGGGATAACAGAACGCGCTAATTATGCACGTACCTAGTATGATCAGAATATACGAAAATTTAAGGAGAGCATATTTTACAAAAATGTCCATAGCTTAAAAAACTGTTAGACTTAGAATTATTTTAAGTTTTAAAAAATATTTATATAATAAATATTTCATAATTTTCCACTATTAACTAGTTCGCAAATTCTCATTTAAGGCGGGCCCTATTTCATAGACTGCCATAGTCTATAAATATACATTAGTACGAGATTTACCAATCTGTAAGACATACCTCTATGTATTAATATTTTTTTAACTCAATTAGTACTTAACCTAAAATTGTTATTGATCCATCAATTTTTTTTGCTAGAAAATAATTAAAAAATAGCTGTTTTATAACAAAAGTTTAAAATTAAAAATGTATTTATTTTTTTCTTATTAGAGACAAATATTAAACAAATATGCTTTTAACGTAGTCAAAAACTATAATTATTATTGTAAAAAAATAGGAAGTGCAAAATATTCACTAGATCAAAAGTTATTTAAGGTTTCAAATTTGATGGTGGGACTTTATATAAAAGAAAAAAATGTTTCTGTGATATAAAAAATATATTGAAAATGTATGTTTCGC